AACCAAACAAAAAACTCCACCAAAATCTATGGTGTTAGCTGCTGTGGTGCTCCTGTCATTTGGACACTGTTGGATTTGTGTGTTTTATTTGTGAGATGAGCTGCTTTCTTCATGGAGCCTTTGAAACCTCTGTGTGCTCAGAGCTGCCACCCAGCTGGGACAGGCTCAGTGATGACCAGCTGAAGGATCATTTAACCCAAGTCAGCTATAATTTGAAGAAGACAGGGCTAATTAGGATAGATGACCTGCGTTTCTAATGGCAATTTCTGTTACTTTTACCTGGTGCCTGGTTTCCATCTGTCTTCAGTGTGCACCTTGGTGCGCAGAAGTGAGAATGAATAAGCACAACTTCAAGCAATACCTGTCATGACTGTTACTCAGTGGTTTCTTTCTTTGTTGCAGTTTTGCTTTTGGCTGTCGTGGCTTCCACAGCCCTCCTCAGAGTGCTGGCTCTCTCCCTTGTTCCTTTCTTTTTTTCTGACTGAAATGTGAACTCAAGCTCTGCCTGCCAACATGTGAGAGCAGAGCACTGTTTATCCTGCCAGCTGCATTCTTGATGTTACTTGAGGTGCTGGTGATGTCATTGCTTTGGGAGAGCTCTGCAATCTGGGTCTGAGGTTTTGGCAGGTCAGTAAAGGAGGAAGGGGTTCTAACTGTGATACTTATTAATGTCTTTGCACTTTAGAAAGCACATAAATATACACACAAACCATCTGTTTTTAATTCTTAAAGTCATCTCAGGATGTCTTCCAAGCTTTTCTAGTAGATCCATAAGATTTTTATTTTTCTCATAACAAGTCAAGCTGCTTAGTTTTTGTTTCTGATCTGTCACGGTGGTACAGTGTTATATATACATTCAGCCATACACATACTGTATATGTGGGTTTCGTATGTATGTACGTAAAATATGTATGCACACACATATGCATGTGAAGTCAAGAAGATGTTGATTTTTGACCGCAGTACTTTGGTTTAGGAGCTCAAGCACTGTGGTCTGGTTTAGCGTGTCTGTGTGTGACACGGTTCTTGCAGAGCTGCATACAGCAAACAGGAGGATAATGAAGTGGAAATATGTTGTGGCTCATTAAGTGCCCTGTTTGTGTTGTTTCTAGAAAGCAGCAGTGACGGGTCATGTTATAACAAAGAGGAGGCTCATTTACAGGGTCACAGCCATGTCTGTAGTTGTCCTGTGAACCTTTATGACAGCTGGAGCTGTGGTAGTCAATGGGATACCAGCATTTCCCTTGGAGAGTGTTCCACTCAGAGGTAGAAACAAATTCAAAAACATTCAGGCACACGTTTATGTGGGGAGTTAAAAGTATATTTCGGTGGGCCTTTTACAAAGCCACTGAAAAGTTAGAAAACAGCATTTCCAGAAAGAAGATCAAAAAGAAATGCCACCAGAAAAACTGGCTGAATCTCTCTGAAGTTTCCTGGTAGCTCCTATTCCTGTGCAGTTTAAGTTTATAGTAAGATTTACAACCAGGGTACATAATAGCAGATTCTAAAAAAATGAATTCCTGGTTCAGTATCCACTGGAGGAACTGGCAGTTTCTTGTGGGATTGAAGTCCTCTGGAGACTGAGGTGCAGTTTGTGGAAAGTCACTAATTTCTGCTCAATCCCTTTGCCTCCTATTTACAAGATCATGTCCTTTTTTCTCATTTATGTTACATAGGCTTTACTTGTCACCAGCGCTGGGGATAGGGAATGTTAGGCTCAGTGATCAGCTGCAGGAGGAAAGGTCATGGAGAGGAGGTGGGAGGAACGGCACGGCAGGAATACAGAAGTTCTGACATGGTTGAGGCTGAAACAGAGCCTTCACAGCAAAATGCACAGCCGGGAATAGGGAAGGGCTTGGTTTCACTGGGGAAAAAAATGGGATCCCTTCATTGCTGTCAGCTGGTTTTTCCATGCAGCCTGTAAAGGAGGCTCTGAACCTGTGGCTGACCCCTTCCCTCCCTCCCTACCCTTTTGGACTCTCCCGTTCCTCCCCGGCGCACCATATTTGAGGGCTGAGCTGTTCTGGCCTTACTGGCTGACTCTTTGTTGCCAGTCTGTCAGTTTTGGCAAGCCCAGGCTTCCAAGTGCCTGTAGCCTGGATTTCATGTCAGCTCTTGCCAGCTGTATCTGTTTGAATGACTCAGTTGCAGGCAGCTGTCAAGTGCTTACACTGCATGTTTCGCTCTCCTCACGTGACATGAAAGGGCACATGGACGTGTTTATTCCACAGCTTGTTTAGTATTTAGGTGGACGGTATGATAGGAATTAGCATAATGCTCTGGGGTGGGTTCGAAAAGCGTTCTTTTTTGTTTTCAAGACTCATTCTTTCAGAGGTCAGTTGTACTTTTGCAATGCCAAAATAATTAGCACACGCAGTTTTTGTGTGTAGACTTAATATCTGATCTCGCAACCCACAACGGACCAAGCTCTTCCTCCTGACAGCGACGGAGGAATGTGTTGGTTTGTCTCATGCTTTCTAGGCAGGCTGCTGTTCCAGGCTGACCTGGGATTCTAATAACAGCAGCACTCAGGGAAGAGGATCGTGGTCATGCACGAAGCAAGGTTTCCTGCAGATGTCGGTAGTGGAAGGCTGCCACCTCTCGGCGGTGCTGGTGTGAGTGAGGAGGGATTCAGGATGTGGGAACCCAGGCGGTGGAAGTGGGAGGTGGCTGAGGATTTCATTCCTCCGCAGTGTGGATTTGTACCTTCCACACGTTTCTTTTGTTTGTTTTTTTTTCCTTTATGGCAGAGATAGAAGTGAAATATTAAACCTGTGCAATAGACATCATCTCAGGGCCTAGCAGAAGAGTAGTACTTCAGGGGGCAGGAACTGCAGGTTAAAGGTTTAATTTGATGGGCTATTTTTAGTGATTTCCTACTGCACTTTGTGCTTAAATGGAGATTCAAAACAGTTGGAGCTCAAGTGTTTGAGGTGAGCCCTGGGGAAAACGTGAATGTGCCACTGCCTATTTTCTGAAACTCTTCCCTGCAGAGCTTTGGTCTGCAGGTACATTAGGCCTAACTGAAAACGGGATTTTGCAGATCCCCTGCATCCTGCATCTCCTTGGCAAGCCCAGCTCTGCAGCTGTGTTGACCACATGCCTTGTTTTCCTTCGTGATTTCCCCATCAGAGAGCAGTGTACAGTCCTCCCGTGCACAGTAGTGTCATCCATCTCTTGTCACAAAATCTATCTTGTCTTCCTGACATCTGTCCTCTCTTAATTTCTTCCTGAAGTCTGTCCCTTCCAGGCCTGTCCTGTGCTGACTGTGCCCTGAGCCTGTCCCTGGAGGTTGTCAGCAACGTTCCAGGAGCCAGCCAGAAAAGAGTCAGACCTGAATTCTAGGGCCAGACCAACTTGTTCCCTTTCAATGTGTTTGTAGGGTCCACAGTGTGAAGAGAAACTTGTGATTTTTTTTCCCATGCAAAAATGGGTGAGATGCCCTTTTCTCAGCCCTTAGAAGTTAGTTCTAAAACAATATGTGTTTCTCCCACCTCTGTAGCTTTTCCTGAGGAAGTGTAGTAAACCAACATGGCATTTTCCAATCAGATTTGGATTGTTACTTGTTCTCCCTGAGTCCTCTTGCTAAGCTGGAAGTCTGATGACTGTCAGGTTTGAGAGGGCACTGTTCTCAAAGTAGTTGTGTTTGATCTGAGTATCAGTGATAGCATCATGCCTTTTGGGTGTCCAAACCACATCATTCACAGCTGAAGTTGTGAATTGCTTCAGCTCGAGCAGCTGTCTGCCATGGCCTGTCATCTCTGTGATAAAGCTGCAGAAGGAGGAAGAAAAAATCAGCTTAGTAGAGCACACAGGGGAGATTTCTGCCATTAAATGTCTCGAACTGGAATTCGATGTGGAATTTAGGGGGTGTTACTCCTGAAAGATGTGTAGTGGGATCATGAATTGCCCATAGGATTGCTTCAGGCTTCTGTCCATGGCAGTGGTTCCATGTAGTATCTCCAGACCTTGATTCAGCACTTAGTCAGAAAGGAAGGGTTCTGCTTGCTGTACCATTGTTGTGTCACTCCGAGCAGACCTTGTCACCTTCCTGCATGATGTTATTTTTCTTGTGGTCATAACTGAAAGCTGGTGTTGACATGCACTTGGTTAGGAAATCACCTTCAACCACACTAAAGCAGTCCCCTGAAATAGTAAGGCATTGCTGGGACACCCCACCCCACCAGTGATTCCTGTAGCTGAGTAGAGAGACCAGTTGGAACAGATGCTTGCAGTGATGGCGAAGCTTTGGAGCTTTCCCTCCACCTGCCACACCCCTACTCCCGTGGCTTCTTTATTCCCATTTGAGCCACCATGGCTGAGAAAAAAGTGGCGTTTTCTGTGCAGGAAGTGTGCCTGCTGACCTGGAATTTTGTATGAGTTCAGAAGCTAGGTAGCCATGGACCGAGTTTTTTGCACAGGAAGATCATCCAGGCAGTCTTGGGGGCTTACTGGTGTCATTGGACACTCTGCTAACATTAGAACGTGGAGGAAGGAGGGAGCACTCCCACCATTCATCCTCCCTCATGGCTGCAGAGCTGGCAGGCAGGAGTGCTAGAAATGCAGTAGTTTGTCTTGTGAGCAGGAAAAGAAAAAATGAATTAACTAATAATTTGAATTCAAACTGGGAAGGATACAGAGAATAACGCAGTGCTCTTCATGTGTCCTAAACCCCTGCTATTCTTGGGATGGTTTTCCTATTTGGATTGCAGGTTGGATAATGCTGATGTTCCCCTGGATGAATCTCCCATTATCTTTTTTGTACACATTTGTCAAGAGCAAGTAAGTGATTTACAGTTTGTGCATTCTCTAAGCCGTGCTGGAACATCTCAGCAGCTTGTTCTGTTTCATGCTGATTGAATCTGCTCTCAAGACAGAGCACAGTAAAATCGATGTATTAAGTGTTTGCTGCACACAATGACTGTTCTGCTTCAGTTGTGAAAGTATATTCAAGTGATTTTTTTGTGCTAAACTTAACATGACTTTTTTCTGTTTCACAGTGGATTACACAGAGCAGCCAAAGCTCTTGAAGCTCATGCAGACCTGCCTTGAGGAACACCACAGCTATTGTATCAATGGGCTCTGTGCCTTCCACAGCGAGCTGAGGAAACCCATATGCAAGTAAAGAATGCTGCTTTTTAGTATCCTTCTCCCAAAATAGCACTGCCATTGTTTCTATCTGCTGCATGGTACTAATGCAGCTTTTTAGTGCCAGTCAAGTACTTGCAAGCTTAAAATATGGTACAGACCCGAGTGCTGTGGTGGCTCGGGACTGCTAAAGAGGCTGTAGTGCTGTGCTAGTGTAAATGAACTAAAGAAGTGAAGGGGGGAATTCACAGCTTTGTAGGTCACTGCCATGGTGCCATTTCAGATCACAGCTGGTAAGTAGTAGAGGAATAAGTAGATTTCACAGTTGGCAAGAGGAAGGGGACAGGATCTTCCAAAATGTCAGCTGCAACTCCCTTATTCCACAAGTGCCTACAAACCAATCAGGACCATGGTGTCCTTAAAATTCTGTAGGATCCTTACTGGGCAGCTTTGGCCTTGTGAGACCTTGCAGCAGGTAAGGATCATCAGAGCACAGTGTTCTTAGTCCACACCCTGCACCATGAGGGGATGTTGAGACTGCATTGCTGCTGTGACTGCAGTACTTGAGCTAGCTTTAGACTGGATAAACTGGGGCAACTAGTAGTCTTGGTGGAGGGAAGGGGTTCTGACTGAGCACCAGGTTCAGCCCATCCTCATTTAGACTTCTGATTTGTTTAAAACTGATGAAAACTAACATGCGTCTGAAATAGAAAGCATAACAAGTTCTGAATAACTTTTGCATGGTGTGTATTTATTTTGTAGGTGCCTTGCAGGTTATAATGGAGAAAGGTGTGAACATTTAACACTAAATTCATATGCACATGATTCTTACGAGCGCTACATAGCTGTGGGAATTGGTGTAGGAATACTGACCGGGGGAATACTTGCCATCATCTACTGCTACGTAAGAAAGAGGTATGGGAGATCTGGAACCTTCTGATTGCATTAATCTGAATTAATTGATCAATTAATTGAATTAATTGATTGCAAAAATCTGAACTGGAGGGCTCTGGGAGTGTGTTCTTGCCTGTTGCTCATCTGCGGTGTGATCTTAAAGGAACTAACACTCTACCTCTGCTTTCCCTTCTGCCAGTGGGTCAACAGTGTGATTGTCTGAAATGTGGGGTTCACCTGGGCTGCCTGAATGAGTTAGGTGATTAGACTTTGGTTCTGTTCAGTGTGCTGTGCTTTTGTCTGATGAAAATCACAGGATGGTGTCCATTTTAGATGCAGGAAATTGAAATCCCCCTACAAAGTCTGCGTGGGCGAGACGGCGCTGTGAAGATCTGGCACTGGGACACTCACCAGTTTGCCTGCAAAGGAGGGGAAGGTCTTCTGGGAAGGCCCCCCCGCACCATCTGACAGGTGCCCCGGCCTCGCGGAGGAGATGAACTCGAGGGAATGGCAGAGGAGGATGTGAAGGGAACTCCTGCAGAACTGACAGGCTCCGTTTAGTGTTGAAGAAAGACCTGCTCTCCTTGGTAAAGGTGGCTCATGCTCAGGTCCAAACAGCTGAGGGCACTGGCAGGCCTCTTGACACTCTCCTGTGGTTGGTGTTTGCCAAGGGGAGGACCTGGTTGGTTTTAGCTGTTTTCAGTCATTTCAAGCCCTAGAACAGTGTTCTGCTTTGGTCTTTTGTGTGTTTTGGTTTTTTGGGTTTTTTTGTTTGTTTTTTCTTCTTTTTTTCTCCTCTGGAGGAAAAGCACCACCTCTCTCACAGTGGAGCTGTATTCTGGACATCAGGCACTGACCAGAAAACATTTGGGTTCTGATTTTGGTGTCTGCTGGCTGTGTGTGTGGATAAACATCCCTCTTCCAAGCCAGCTGTTACCTCCAGTGTAATGGGCCAAGTACAGGCTTCTGCTACCATAAAGGACAAAACCAAAATGCTTTGGACTGAGGAAAATGACTGGTTTGCAAAAGCTTTCTTAAACTTAGGAATAGAGACTAAGCAATTCCTGGAAAATTAGATCATGACACCTCTGGGCATGGCATGCTCTTATTGTTTTCATGAGCAAAGGAGCCAGGCATCTTTCTCAAAATGCATTATGGAGTGTGCTCCTGACAAAGAACCCTTCTCATCCCAAACATCATCCAGCAGCTCCTCAGGTCCATGGAACTTCAGGCAGAACATTGCCTTGCTGCCCCCTGATTTCTGCACAAGACTTCAATTTCTAGAGAAGCTGGAATTTTTCATGAAACTTCAGTACACAGGAAACAGACTCTACTCCTTTCTCACGTTATCAGCACAATGTGACCACTCAAATAAGAAAAAAATTATCTTGGGGATTAGGTTCTACCCTGGACAAACAGATTACATATTGGATGCTTGGCTCTCTTCATCTTGTCTACAAAGAATTGCAAAGGTACAAAGATTTTGTTCAAAGAAAAGGGAAGAAAATTGATTCTGAAGATGGTGGCACTAACTGGGACTTCTCAGTGACAACTGGAGTGTTTGCCAGTGCTGACGAGACTGGAGGTGGCTCTCAGAGGTTTTCATTTCAGCTGTTGTACGTTGTAGACTCATCTGCTGTGCTCAGTCATCTTCCAGAGAAAGGCAGTTGGTACTTGGAGATTTTGTTGGGTAATATCAGCTCCTAAATTCAGGTGGCTTACTGAAAGCGCAGTTTCTTTGTTATGTGAATTAATTTTCACAGCAGGAGGCACGTTGCTTGTTGAAAAAACTGTGTATTTTTGAGGCTATGGTGACAATTCTGATATGTGAATGAAAGGTGGAGTTTGAAAGGGTTAAAAGTGCCTGTGGCACTCGAGTGGTCTGGAGTTCAGGGGGCTTCTTACACGGGGGTCCTGGTCAGTAGCTGAGCCATCTTGGCTCTCCTTTTGATACCAACAAATAAAACAGCACATCACACACTGTTTGGAATCCTGCATATCAGAGGGAACAAGCGGCACATGCCTGGATTGAGACCAGTCCTTTCCTCTGCACATCAACATCAGCGTTTTCCAACTCAGCCTTTTTGCCGCCTTCATCTCAAGTTAAATCCTCAAATCTCTGCATTGTTTGCTCCTTTCCATTCTTCTGACCTTTTATGAGTGTCCACTGCCGGACAGCTTGTGCTCTTCACAATTTTCAACTCAGCTTTCAGTAGGGGCCCTGACATGTTCTGTGTCACACGTGTGTAGTGAGAGGGCAATGATATGTGAATTACAGTCTGTACATTCACACCGAGGCACAGACAAAAACCACCCTTCACCCCTCTCACATGGAAATACCTATTGAAAACATGCATGCTGTCAGGAAAACACGGGTGAGAGATCTTTATTATCGATCTCAGAGAAAATTTTAGAGCTGAGTATCCAAAGGATGAAAAGCCTCAGGGTTTTTGTCATGAGTGAATCTCCCTCTCAACAGTGAGTTGTCTCTTCCTGTGTGCACATTGCCAGTGTTGGATTCACCCCCTGGGGACCAACCCTCCTCCATCAGAGAGGCTCTATCTTGGAGCAGGCACACACCTTCCTCAGGGGGTACGTGCAGGAGTTTGAGCAGCTGGACTTTGCCTTGCCTAAAGAAAGCTGTTGGAGAGAGATGGATTTGGTTTGGTTTTAGCTGTTTGTATGTCCTCTTACTGATGTTTTTTATACCCTTAATGTACCAGTGGCCAAGCAGGTACCTTACAGGATACGAGAGTCCTTCTTCAGAAGTATTTACTCATTGCAGTGAGACATTCTGTACCTGTAGAAAACACACACTAAATTTTTTTTCATGTTTAGTTAAACATAACTGAAAAGGAGGATTTACTTCAAGGCCACAATTTAGCAGGAGACTACATGGTGAAATATGTTTTTCCAGTTGGCTTTCTGGCCCACGGCAGCTTTGGAGGGGCTGCCAGTGTGAGTTTGCTGAGATTTTTTTTGTTAGTGGAAGAAAAGGTGGAGAATGAAACACCAGATGAGTCTGTGCCACACAAAATGAGACTTTGTGTCAGGGTAGAATGAGAATAAAATGGAAAGACAAAGATGAGAAGAAGGAAGGAAGGAAGGAAGCAAGCGGAGGTCTGTGCTGTATTTTAGCGTTCTTTGTCCAAACGGTGTCAAGGCTTCCAGAATTGGGTTCCTCACCAGCTGGGTGCTGTGTGCCCTTCATGCTGAAGCACAGGCTCGGAGCAGGCCCAGGCTGTGTTTGAGGCATCCCTGCCTGCCTGACTCACTGTGCAGTTTGGTGCAGTGCCCTGGCTGAGGAAGCCTGCCCTGCCTCAGATCGCTGTGTGGAGTCAGCCCTGCTGAGCCCTGCCTTGATCAGTGACAGATGCTGCCAGCCTGGTATGGTGTGTTGCTGCTTACGGTGCTGAATTTCCTGCAGAACTGGCCTGTCAGAGGATCCGGATCATCTTTCCTGGCTCATTTATCAGGCTCAGAGTCCTTCTGTAATGGCATAATTAACAGAGTTGTAAACTTCTCCTTCCCATTCTAGCTGCATGTGCCAAAAACTGTCATTTCAAGAGGAACCCCTGTGTTTGTGTGGCTTTTAGGCTGGCCTGCCTCGGCTGTGAGGGGCACCAGCTCCACAGGGCTGAGCCAGAGACATCAAAGACCGGGATCAGCCTTTCCAAAGGACAGAACGCTTGCCCTGTGCATGATCCTGGCTGGTGGAACCATTCTGGCTTTTCCTGCAGCACATCTCACGCCGAGTTGCCCTTAAGCCACCCAGCCCTCAACCTGCTTCACTGGCATCTGCAGCCACTGTGCAGGTGTGCTGGGCTGTGACTTGAACACCTCCCTCAATTCAACACCCACTTCCTGCTCTGGCGTGTGGGTGGCCTGCAGTTACTGATCCCAGCAAGGGCTGTTTCAAACAGGGAGGTGCAAGCCTGGGGAAAAAAAGGGCTGTGCTTTCCAAACAGCCCTTCCTGCCAGGGCACACTGTGGTGAACAGCGGTGCCGTGATCGCACTCGGAGCTGCACTGGCACAGGAGCACCTGGGCCAAGAGCCAGCCAGCCACTGCAGACAGTGCCAGAGGCTCCTGGAGAAGGTTTTGGAGCTCTAATGGCAAGCAGGTAGGTAGGAAACAGTTTTCCCTTGGAGAAGATTTTGCCTTTCTCTTAGTAACCCCGAGTATGTTTTGATAGTGACACAGCAGGGTTTCTGGTCCATCCCACTTATAGTAAAAGTACAAATCCAGTTTGCACTGCTACAGCCAGCACAAGGCTGCCTGTCATGTGGTCTGAGTGTAAATCCTGCCTTGTGTACTAAGAACTACCTGTGAAACTGGTTACTTGCTAGTGACTCTCAACTTCATGCAAAAAAAAAAAAACCAAAAAATCATGGCTCTCAGCAAAGTTTTAGAGATTTGTAATTCTTTACACTCATTAGATGTTTTGTTTAATTTCTGGTCCATGAAATACACTGTAGCTTTCAAAGCATCCCACAAGGAGAAGGCTAATTTGGCAAAATAATTGATATAATTAAGTTCAGAAAGCTCCTGTGACCCCTGAAGTTCTCAGTCCTTAATGGATTTGTCTTTAGAGCATCCCCAGGAAGCAAAGCAGTGCTTCGGCAATGATGTGCTGTGGAGAACTAAGACAGGGAGGGATTAAAGTCACCTGAAGGAGAGGCATCAAACTTTTCCAACCTTTTCAATAACTCTTCCGTGAGTTCTTTTAAGAACTCCAGTGGTGCTCTAGCAGGTCAGTAACACAGCAGCAGCGTTGAGAGGGGAAAGGTGGGTCAGACTTGGTAAAGTGCAAGTTTTAAGACAGACAGCAAGGTGGCATCCGCAGTGACTTGTGGCTGCTCATACCTGTCCTGAGCCTTGCTCTGAGCAGGGAAACGCCTGTAGAGGTCCCTATTGTACTGCAAATCCAGGAAACCAGTCGGGACTCCTCCTTTTACGACCCAGTTAACAAACAAACGAACAAAAAAGTGCAGATACTCATTAAAAGCTCAGTGTGAGTAGTCATTAATTATCATGACAGCAATAAAATCTTATGCTGGGACTCGACGTGGGGCTGCTCCTACTCTCGCAGATTTGACTGGGAGCGAGAGCAAGTTCTGTGAGCAGCAGAGGGAGGTGAGCACAGCCGACACCGCTGGGGTGTGCATGAGAGGGAAATGGGCACGGGGGTGCTGCTGCGAGCACTGGGATTCCTGGCCCCTTGGCTGCACAGCTGGGAAGAGCTCGCTCTTGTGTGGCTGTCGGGATGAGGAGTTGAGGCACAGGCTGGTTTTGGCTGAGAGCAGGGTTTGACTTGCTGTGTGGGCAAGCCCACCTCTGAATGAGAGGTTGTTCAGGTCAAATTAAACTTCTTATTTCATTTTTATAAATATAAACATAAAATTTGTCTGTGACACACAATTTCACAAATTAGGGTTAAAACTGTTTTAAATGCTTCTTCTCTGGAGCAGTTTGGGATGAGCTGAACTTGGGAATCGAGGCATGCCTTACATAGCACTTTGGAGGGAATTTTCCGCCTGATAGTTTGCTGGGGTTTTCCCCTGTTGTGGAATTAGGGCCACCTGTAAAATGGAGCTTAGCTCTGAGCTCAGTTTTCTAACTCATAAAAAGGTCAGAGGTATCCAAAGGCCGGGTTTTGACATTGTCCATGCCTGACATTGAGTAATTTAAAAGCTAATTTTTAATGAAAACCTCATGTTGAATTTATCTGGTGATACTGGCAAGCAAGTTTCCTTGTAGAAATTCTCTAGTGGCATTTCTCTTTAACAATATTTTGTCCTTTAATAAGCAAAAATGCTGTTTGCTGTACTTCAAATTCCTGATACTCAAATCTGAAGCTGTGTTTCCTGGCCAGGACTGACCAAAATGCAGCATTGACTCTGCTGATGAGAGTCAGGCTGTTACTGAGTACAAATTGATGTGCTGTTACCTTCAACTTCCCAAGCCGAGGGGCCACACTGAGATCCAGGGATGGGAGTGTTGGAGCTTTGTCTCTCCATGAAATCTGTAACGCTCTTCGCTTTTTTTTAATTGTTGTTCAGGTTTTTTTAGATGGGGGCACAGGGAATGCAGGAACCCTTCCTCTCTCCTTCATGTCCAAGGCTGTGGTGCAGAGATGCCTCTCCAGAGCCCCCTCTGACAGAGAGCACAGCCAGGGCTGTGGAGAGGACAGGGCCGAGCTTTGCAAGAGCATCTGACTAACCGAGGCAAAGCTGACTTGTTTGCCATCACTTCGGTGCGTCAGGCTGGGTCTGTTTGTGTGCCATTGTTGTGGCAAATCCCATGATGAACAGCGTGCTATTGACTCCTGCCGGCCGTTTGACGGAGCGCGGCAGCGGATTTGGCCACGAGCGCTGTGCCAGGAAGTGTCTTAAGAGATGCCAACGCCGAATTTAAAGGCTGTGGGGCAACAGCTGGGCCTCTCGGGGAGCTGGGGCAGCTTTACGTCACAGGGAGGATAAGGAGCTTCCCTTGGGTGCATCCCTGCTCTGCAGGCCCCACAGCCCAGCAGCCACCTTGGGGTGGAGGTAGCAGGTCAGAGTGAGTCAGTGACACGAGGGGACCCCGAGTTACAGGCCGTCTCAGAACATGCACAGTTTGGCTGAGAGTTCTGTGTCTGTTCCCATCATTTCAAGGCTGTGACATCCCATGTTCATGAGCATTTCTTGGAGGGATGCTGTTGAGGAGGGGAAACTCAAGGAGGGCCCTCAAGTGGCGTTGTCTGTGTCTGTGGATTTGGAGACTCTCAGCATCTCAAGTGTTGGGTTGTTGGGTACAAATCTTTGTAGCTCTGGCATGACATTTGGTGGACATTGGCAGCTTAATCTGCCTTAATGTCTCAGGATGGATGGCTCCCA